GTATATTAGAAATTGATAGATACTGTGGAAGAAAAGAAAAGTAGAGCAAGTTAAAAGGAGTCCAGAGTGTGGGGGATGGAGAGACATTGAATTTTTAAATTAGGTAGTCAGAATTGACTTCATTGTGAAGGTGATATTTGGTTACTCCACATGTTTAATAAGCCATTACCCAAGCGGATTTATTTTTCTTTTGCAGACTTTCATTAGTTCTCATTATGGAATAAATCTGGTGTCAACATATATGATCATGGTGTTCATGGGTATCTGGGCATTCTTTGTTGCCGGAGGCAGCTACCGAAACCTCAAACTATGCCTGCTCTGTCAAGACGAGGACTTCCTCCTCTTTAACCAGCGTTCCAGATAACCCCTGAGAGCCAGCACCTCTCAAACAGTAAGCTGCATCTTTAGAGGAAGCACATCTGTACCTTTTTCTAAAAAAAAAAAAAAAAAAAAAAGTTTTTTTCTGGTGGAATTTAGAAAAAAAACAAAACTACAACATGGCTTTCATGGTTGCTCTCTAAAAGGGATACATCAATAGTTTGCCTCCTGGCCGAGCATGAGAATCACCTGGGGAAGCATAAAGAATACTGATTTCTGGCTTCCACCTTCCAGATTTCATTGGTCTGGGCATTTGGTATTTTTTTTTAAAAGCTTCCTAGATGACTCAAGTGTGCAGCCAGGTCCAGAATCACCAGTGTCCAAATAGGAAATTCGTGAGACCACTATAAGTGAATCAGAATCTGATGTTTAGCTGTCTCCTAACTCACCTTGTGCTGAGCAAGTAAATATCTGAATGTCAAATCCTGTTCAGCCGTTGTCTTTTTCACTTCTGAAGTTACAAAATGCTAAAGGGCTAGCATCTCTGTGAACTGTTTTCATGTACTTCACTATACCTTATTTTATGAGAACAAGGTAGGCTGTGCTTCTAAATGCAATAATAAATTGCACTAACTTAATATGATAATTTAGCCAGAATAAGCTATTGATTAGCAAACTGAATTTGTAGTTTTTCCATTCTAGATTTTTCTTTTTGAGGTATTACATTGTTCTTGAGCATAGATTCAGTTTCTTTAACTAAAAACTAATTATTTTCCGACTTCCTGGGAAGGTATTATAAAACCAAGAATTTTTGTTCAGTTCTATAAGAATTTCTTAGGTTTAAGGCTTTTCATGCATGGGCTCTGCCTCACAGTAGTGTTTATCAGCTGAGTGCTAGTTGCTGGGCTAGTTGAGGTGAATCCCATTGTTCTATCTTTGGGCAGCTCTGCAGGCTGTTGAATGATATACCCTGGGACAGGCTTTGCTGGAACTGGAAGAGGTTTATGAGGAAAACAAGCCAAAAGGGTGGTGGTGTCATTTTTAATTTGCTCCTATAATACTAACCAGCACTTCCCTGCCAAATGGTATAGTGTAAAATTGGAAATATGTCTTAAACTGCCGAATTCTGCTTTTCGTAGTCTGTATATTTCATAGATCTAGTAAAATGTCTCTGGGTTTTGGTAACAGATTCAGAATTCCCTTTATAGGAATACCCAAGGTATTTGTTCAGCTTCTGAACAACCCTTTTGATTTCCTTTATAAATCGGAAATGCCAGTGAATTGTGCCTTTACTCAGTAGAAATTGTTCCCAGTTGATAACTTTTAGGAAGCTGGTGGTACAAAATGGAAATTTCCTACAGATGCAAGTGGTAACCTCAGTGAATCTGTATGTGTAGTAGGACATCCAAAAGAAATAGGAGTGGCAATGGGAAAACTCACCGGTGATATGACAGAAGAATTTGACAGTACTATAGTGGAGAAGAGTCATGAACATGTTCAAAATGGAAACATAGCCAGTATTTTGGGCTAGCCACTCTTCATCATTCCAGGGACCAGAACCTTACATATTAATTAGACCATTCTCAATGAAATCCCCTCCCATGTTTAAATTACTCAATCTAGGGATTCAAGAGCAGCAGTAGAGTTTCTAGCAAGGCTGTAAACAGTCTCATAAGCAATTATAGTTATTCCCCTAGTCTACTTCAGTACTAATTACCAATGCTTCAGCTGGAGCTTGCAATTCTCTACCTTTATACAAGATTTTTGTTAGACTAGAAGAGTCATATGAAAAATCAAGGACACAGAGACTAAACAATGAGATTTACTGTGCAGAGTTGAGGGGAACAAGATACTACTGAACTGGGCTTTATTCCTATTGGAATGTGGTATTCCTTGATGACCAGAATAAGAAAAATACATTGTTGATTATTACCATTGACTTACAAATCTCCTAAATGGGTAGTCTGATAAAATATTTGCTGGTCCGTAAAGTGTAGAAAAATCCAATAATATTATTCATACTTGAGATCCAAGGATGTTCTTTGTGCATTAATAGTGTGCATTAATAGCTTAATGTTAAGTAAAGAAGCTGGAATATTGTAAAATCTCATAAAAACTCAGGTGAGAAGAAAATTTTCTTTGACGGCGAGAGCATTGTCTTAGTTCAGGAAATTATTTAATAATTCATGATTACCTGTGAATAAAAGAAGTTTGTAATCCTGATTTCTCTTAGAATGTGACATGACCATAGTTAGCTTAGGCACTGTTGTTGCAAATAGCCTTATAGTCTTGCTTCGCCTGATGCCAAGGAAGCCCAGAGGGAGAGTATATTCTTCCTCTGTTGTTGTGTATATATTGAGATGCAATTTTTTGTTGTTATCTATAATGAGCTTTCTGAACCCTGATAGTATTTGGAGAGGAGGAGGTGGTGTTCATGTTGTATGCGCTCCTCCAAACAGGGCTTTCTCAGTGAGGGGAAATGTGGGTACAATAAAGCTGACCTTGGAATGTGAAAATAGTTGCAGCACTTAAATATGTTGCCGTATGAATAATAGAGATTGATTTTGTTGCTCTCTAATAAATTTGTATTTATTTTTAGTTCATTTGAATTGGTAGTTGTAACTGAAGGAAATTTTTTTACTTTGATTCTGGCCTGCCTGACTGGCGACAAAGCCTCTTTTAGTGCATCTTAATGAAAACATGGCTGAAAGGAATAACTGATGATATCTGCAGACTGCATAGATAATGGTTTTTGTTTCCAATGTTAATGTCTTTATTCTCAAGCACATTACACTGTTTGCTGAGAGGGGTGGATTCATTAAAAAATGCTAGCCGTTCTTATCCAAAGAGTTGATAGCACTTGCAAGCAGTTCTTGAGTGTGCTAACTTTTTGT